TTTCCTCTTTTGCCTGAGGAGATTTGAACCCACATTTAGCAAAATGCTCTGACCACCATGCTGACCACCAAATAAAGTGTTTGCCAAAATCAACTTGACCTCCCCAGCAATAAGCCTACTTTTCAAAGTATCTATCCTTTTGCTTCATCTTCTTATTCATTGGCAAGCTGGCAGAGACATAGCTGTCACTCTTGTTTATACTCTGGTTCTTTGGTTGTTAAGGTGTCAAGGTCACTCATTACTATATTAGACATAATGTCAGCCTTATAATTGCATTTATTTATTTATTATGGTCAATAGTTTTAATTAAAGTTCATGGTCTACTCATTGAGAAATCAGCATTGGCAGTAGGAGCTGTATCTCAAACTAGCATTTGTTGAGGCCAGCCCTTTACTTCCATCTATTGAAGAGGTCTGATGAAAACAGAAATTCCTACTAGGTACAGTAGGACAGACATTACCTGAAGGGGATTTGAAAATGCCTGTCTTTCTGAAAAAAAATCTATTAGCATTTAGATGGCTTTTCCACCCCGCTTTTTCTTCTTCATGACTGCAGTTAGTCAGCCTAAGATAAAATGTAATTCCCTTTACTCATAATCTTAAAGTTGTTATAATTCTATAATACAAGTATGTGGATGATCATGGCTTAGCATGTTGCTAAGGATAAGAGTCAAATTCTTTTGTTTGACAGAGCTTATGTTGATTTAATGGGAGCTTTGAGCTCAGCAGAAGGCAGCACTTAGTACTACTAAGAATGTACTTTGATAGAGATCTGTCACCACTCAATAGTAAAAGTAGCACAGAAAGCACATTGCTAGATATATATTCAGGTTGTTAATATATTCATTTTTAGTGGGTATATATATGTTTATTTATCTTGACTATCATACACTGTCTTCTATTTTGCCACGTTTGTACAGATCATAAAATAGCTTATGTATAAATCAGATAAATCAAGGATTGTTAAACTGATGGAATTTATTTAGAAACACACTATTAACTGGTTCTGCAATTTCCTGGAAAAATGGCAGTATCACTAGCTTTCCATCATTTGCATTTTTTTTATATTTTATAAAACATACTTGGCAAAGTCTCTTGGCACAATATTGATTGTCAAAAATAATATTAATATGATGAATTGTTGTGAATTAGAGAATTAAACATTTCCAGATCACAAAACAAAAGTGCCCCTTATCTCCCACAGACAAAAAGCTGGGAAAGCAAAATGGCCCTGCCATATGTTCGGCAGGTCAAAATAACCCTTCTGATCACCAAAAAGACATCTAACTAGAGAAACAAATCCAAGAGTTGATGACCTCATGGCATTGCCAGAGGCTGCATGTTATAAAAGAGTCCATCAAAGGTTCAGGTTTAAACATACCCCACCGTAGTTTGTTCCCCACTGTGTAGATTATATTGTAAGGAGGTCTTGTTTAATCCAAATAGACATCAACTTCACAGGACTTTCAGCTTCTTGACTTTCAGGAAACGTTATGACAATAAACCCCAAATCCCAAATACATATACTTTGGACTTTGTGTCTCCCAATGCTGTTTCCTTTGGTTTCCAATCAGCACATCTTCCTTTTCCCTTTCCTCTCTGTGTGTAACAGTTCTTTTAAAATGCAAATCTACTCTAATCCCATAATCATTTATACGTCTCCTTAATTTTGCTCCTGACGTATGCTACCAATGTATGACTGTAAAGTGAGGCAAGTATGTAAGCAATTACAGAGACCTGATTCATTATGCTTGTCTTGTGAAATAGTATGGGCATTGTCCTCAGGAGAAGCAATCTGCAGAAAAATCACTGCTTTGGAAAATGGTGTTACTTGATGGCATGCTTGAATTCAAGTAGTGGCAAACTAATTTTAAAGCTGCATACCAGAAGCTTATAAAAACATTAAATACTGAGATGACAGTTCTATTTTACCTACTGGTTGACCAAAGTGCAGCTTGTAACGAACTCTACCTGACGAGAGTATAGGAGTGATTCCATTACTGCCTTTGGGTGAAAAAATGCCTGTGCTTTAGGCATAGGATCTGCATATCTCTGGCAGGCAATCCACTGCTTTAAAGGGGCACTTAGATATCTAGGGGTAACAGTTGAACTTAAATAACTCAGGGTTGATTGCAAGCTGCATTTTGGTCATCTGCTATGTGAAACACAATTTTATCAGGACGTTTTATATCATAGCTTGCTGAAAGCATAAACATTTCAAAGAATTACCAAAAAAGTGAATCAAAACACTAATCATTATCATCATCATCTCCCTCTCTCTCTCTCTAGCCACACATTCTCATAATATATACAAACCAACTGATCACTGAGGTAAAATCAGTGGTTAAACTTAGCATCATGGCTATTTTCGATAGGTTGGCATATAACCAATTTCTATTCAAATTACAAATGGCAAAACTATATAGCAATAGTTTTCTACAAGAGGGTTTAAAATACCTTGCTCTTTCAATTTAAATTTATTATAAAACATTGCTTTAAAAGCTTACAGCCACTGGCCAGCTGTCTTTTTATGGGACCACTTCTGCAGTTACACACACAAAGCACCCATTATTTGAGAGATTTAGTGGTATTACTTCCTCTTGATATGAAAGCACAATTCTCATGAAAGTTTGCATAACTTTTAGAACTTCAAGAAGGCAGTGTAATCTAAAATAATAAGGAGAGTGTTAAGGGTCAGGTGCTTTTAAATTCTAATCTTTTTTTTTGCCAGCGACTTTGTGATATTTGAGTCAGCTTTGTAATCCTTGTCTGCCTCTGTTTCCTGACTTACTCCTACCTCTCAGAAGTGTTGTACAGAATAAAGGCTTGATGCTATAATAGGTTGAGCAGTCTGGCGCCAATCCAGCAAAATACTTAAGCATGTGCTTAGCACAGCACATGAGAGTAGACCCAGGCACGCACTTTGCAGAATCAAGCTCCAGGGGACGATCCCTCACTAACTCAAATCACTGGCATAACTCCAGCATGGTGAATTGAATCCTGATTATTCAATCAGGGTTTGAATACAGTGTGTTATACAAGTACTAAATATTTCTGGTTTTACTGCAAACAAGAGATAAGAACAACAGCTACATGTAGAGCTTGTCTAATGAAAATTTCCAGGTGAATGAAAAAAAAGAAAACGAGAGAAAAAAGCTTAATGATCAACAGAAGCTAACTCTGTTGAGAAAAGAAAACACTCACCAGTGAACATCAAACAATAAATTGATGGAAGTTTTAAGTTTTACATATGAATTGACTTCAGGCTTAGATTCTTTGATAGCAAAAGCAAGCACATAAGTAGGGCGGGGGGGAAGCCTATATCAACTTTTAGAATGTGGATTTTTTGATGTCATTGAGCACAATTGCTAAGCACATGCTAGGCAAAAGCAAACAAAACAAAGTACGCTTTGTTTTTTGAAAGAAAAAGTCATAACCATTAGAGTACAATGATCACATTTTTTTTAAAGTTGAAAGTAAATAAGTAACACATTACCTGATTCATTAAAAAGATACTTGTAGACTCTTATTAAACCCAGACAGTAAAAGTAAGATTTAAGGAGTTAAGATCCTGCAGGCCTGGTGCAGTTAAACTGTCACGTACTGTCGCATCAGCATACTAAGACTTTTGCCTTCCTTTTCTTCTTTTCCCAAGTACCAGTGTTTAATTGGAATTGTTTAATTTTTCACTAGTGCTGATGAGCCCTTGTGTTACAGGAGCAAGTTCCTTCCTTGTTGATGATTTTGAGCTTAATCCAATACACACTGAATTCAGTGGAGAGAATCGTATTGACTTGACTAAGTCTTGGATCAGATTGCTTAACCAATACTGATTTAGGGCTACATGAAGACAGTTAATAGGGGGGCAAAAGATATATAGGGCATGTGTGTGTTTTGTAAAACTTGGTAACTTTAAACACAAAGAGACCCAGATTAATTATGTAATTAAAGATAACTTGTTTCCTAACCTCACAGTTGCCCTGGTCTATAGTGGGAGTCTGTGAAATTCAGGGTATCCAACAGGCATCTATCCAATCCATTCCACCCTGCTCCCCATCCTGAAGTCAGGGACTGTATTGCCAGTATGCTGTGTTTTTTTGTTACTATCATTATGATCATACTTGTTTAGGAGCCTTAGTCATGTTTATTTTGCTACATGCTGCAAAATCACAGAACAAAATGACTCTACCAAAAAGATGACAATTGTAGCACAAAGCAAGATTATATTTTAATCCCAATCTGTTTTGAGTAATATGGAATAGGCTATAATCACTGTTGACAGGACTAACTCCTGCAAGTATTTTCCTAAACATTTGCTGAAGGATGAAGTCAAAAGGAACAGTTTTCTACCACCTCTCTCAGCTGCCACAATGTAGTGCACCACAGAGGGGTTTCTACAGAGTTAGATGAAGGACTGAAGTGCTGCATTTGCTTCAGCTTCTTTCCCTTTTTTGCTTTTTGTAGAGGATTGTGTGGCACTTTCCAACCCCTTATATTTAGTGGCCAATGGCTTTTTCATCTATCAAAAATGTGATGATTTTTGCAAAATAACCTAGGATTAGTCCTTTGGGACTATACATATTGAAGACCACTTTTTATGCACAGCATCATTCAAATTTATTTTTGTTGTCTTTGCAAGATAAAGTGTTAGTAAAGAAGTATGACTAATTAATAGTATTTAATTGTTATTCAATGTGCAACATTTCTGAAATCTAAAGGGAAGTGTATCTGATTGCATAGTTATACCATGCTCATTATTATGGCATCTGAAACTAACTGTACAAGAAATTACCAAGCTCATAATTACGTGTTCCAGTTCTGAAAAATTGTACATTTGAGATTTGGAGGTCCTTGCTATCCAAGTAAATATTGTTACAGGTTTGAAGACTCCCCCCCGCCCAAGTCTTTAAGAAAGAGAAAAAAGAATAAATAGTAATTATAGATTTATTTATTTTTAAAGTACCAAAAAAGAACAAATGTTTAGCTAGAAGAATCTCTTACCTGCCATAGATGATATATTAATAATTACACCTCCATCACCTCCATTTCCTTTTCTCATGTACTCCAGGCCAATGTACGTTCCTCTAATCACGGAAGTCTGAGATGTGAAATACAAAGAGGAAGAATTCTAAACATTTCCTTTCTTTGCTTCTATTAATTTGGGAACTGAAGATTTTTTTTAGTGTTGGTGTGCGAAGTAGTGAGGCTCTTCTGTTATTTATAATTTGAAGATACAAGATACATGAAGAAACCCATGTTGAGCAGCATTACTGCTGCTACTGAGATTATTGGTAGCACTTATTTTTTTTCAGTAGTAGATAATCAATCTAAACAGCAAACACACTGAAGCAAATGCTTTATGAAGTACACAATACGCAAGTAAGTACTTAATTATTAATATGCTACACAACTGTTTGGCCTAAGGATGAAAACAATCAGCATATTAACCTTTTCTCTGGATTTAATCCTCATTATTAAAATTGACTAAGCACTGATAATGTGTTTTGCCCTGTATAACATATAAATAATAGAGTGAATCCTGAGAGGTCCTAAGCATTTGAAACTCCTATTGGCTTCAGTGGAAATAATTAGGTGGTGAAAGCTGGCTCTGGTGGGATCCTTGGGCTAATGCCTTGGAAATACCAAATGGGGAACCCAAGCATAGGGGCTTCAGGGGCCCAATCCTGTGCAGCCCAAGAATGGGAATTTCAAGGGCATGCAGGATCAGGCCTCTGAAGCCCCAGGAACGCCTGTTGGGGTGGCTGGAAAGCA